TTAGCAACTGACATACGGTTTAATGTGAAGACAACAACAACAACAACAGCAGCTTCACGATACATCATGCTTGCAACCCAGGGCGTGCTACCTCTTAGGGGTGGTCGTTTCATTTTCCTTCCTAAGAGGTGGCACGCCCTGGGTTTCGCCTTTCCTCGGAATCCATCGACTATCCATCGGAAGGAGAGGCCACAGGAGGCTGACAATGGCGTTACCTCTTTGTGTCCGTACTTCAATACCTTGCTCCATGAACGATGACAATCTCACACCTTCGAACCGTTGTACATCTTAGAGGCACAGAAGGCATGACTCGGGCGGGGGACGTGTCCCCTTGCACCATGTACCTGTATTCCTGGCATTATGGCCTAGACCCGGAAACGATGCTGTTGGAGATGCAGGTCCAATTTTGTCNTACCTGTGTTCCTGGCATTTTGGCCTAAACCCGGAAACGATGCTGTTGGAGATGCAGGTCGAATTTTGTCTGAGTAGGGAGGCCTCGGTGCCCTGCAAGAATACTGACCGGAAATCAGATAGTGAGACGATCGGCAGGATGTAGCAGTTCGAGGGCTCAAGACTGTTGACGTGAGTGTCAGGTCGATGTGTTGGTCGCGGTAGTCCGGACGCAAGCGAGCTCACCGGCAAGAGCCTGTGGTTGCCATTAGAGGGTTTCAATAGATGGTCTGGTTGGCTTCTTTGGCGTCCCCCGAACCCTCGAGGGTGGCGACATTCTGATCTTGGAGAACGCATGCGGGTCGATCACCCGTGAGACTTACATCGCAAGGTGAAGAATCTTGTGCGTTGAGCGACACCAAGTTCATGTGTGAGAGAGGATGGCTTGGGGACGTGGGTTCATTTCGTGTCTCGCCCACGAGGTAAACGGGCTCGATGTTGAACAAGCCGGCGGCATGACACATGTTTCCTCATGCCCAGTACACCAGCAGCGATTGTCTCGTAGCTGGTGTTGGGTTCTGGAAAACAGTTTGGCTAGGTTGTAGAGCACCTCCGTACAGTACACACAAGGCGTGGGCGACACATGATGTCCTGCGTTACATTTGCAATTTGACCAGGCAATGCGGCTCGTTGTGCTNGCCGCACCATACCTTTTCACCACGCCGCGCCCACCAGCGGCGATCTACAATAACGAGATCACCATTTGGCTCTTTCGATTGTTGCAGGGTCCATCCCGAGAGAGCTTGGAGGTCTCGGCAAGTTGAAAGCTCTCCGGCTCAACGGCAACGAACTTACCGGTAAGGGAGAGTGAAACTNCAGGTTGTAGAGCACCTCCGTACAGTACACACAAGTCGTGGGCGACACATGATGTCCTGCGTTACATGTGCATTTTGACCAGGCTATGCGGCTCATTGTGCTTTTGTCTCGTGCAGGGTCCATTCCCGAGGCGCTTGGAGCTCTCAGCGAGCTGAAGAAGCTTGCCATGCACGACAACAAGCTCACTGGTGAGATAGGATGGCATGAAAAGATTGATTCCTTTCGTGTCTCGCCCACGCGGTAGGTCGGACCGATGTTCAACCAGCCGGCCGCACCATACCTTTTCACCACGCCGCGCCCACCAGCGGCGATCTACAATAACGAGATCACCATTTGGCTCTTTTGATTGTTGCAGGGTCCATCCCGAGAGAGCTTGGAGGTCTCGGCAAGTTGAAAGCTCTCCGGCTCAACGGCAACGAACTTACCGGTAAGGGAGAGTGAAACTCCGTACGATGTGAGAGCAATTCCGCGTAGGACCCCCCAGGTGATGGTTTGCCGTAGACCCGCTCAAACTTCATGATGTCGTGTGATAGCAATCGTTTGGATTTGGCGGTCGTGCTTTACTGGAACCCCTCCGTCCCGAAGGACCTCGGCCGTGTATGCCGCTGTTGTATTCGACGACACGCTGCCTGCCTATGCAAGTCCCTCACTTTGAATGATGCATGTGGCGGCGCCTCGGTTGTACTGTAGCAGGGCTCCTCCCCAAGGTGCCGGG